CTCTTGGCCTCAATTTCTTCAAACGAAAAATGTGGGTATTAGCACTTACCTCTCAGAGTAGTTGTGAGGATCAAATGAGATAATTATTTGTAAAAGCACTTAACACAGTGCCTTGCACATAGTAGGTGCTATATAAATATTTGTTCCCTTCTTTACTACCCCCCCACCCCCATCAGTCAAACTTAACTTTTAGGATCTTATTCTTTTTAAAAAAACCTTTATTAATTTATTTTGATTTATCAACAATCACTTCCATAAGCTTTTGAGTTTTAAATTTTTCTCCCCCTTCCTCCCCCCAAGACTGTGTGCAATCTGAAATAGGCTATACTTACATTCCTATTATACATATTTTCACATTAGTGATGTTGTAAGTAAGAAGTAGAACCAATAGAAGGAATCACCAGAAAGAGGATACAAAACACAACAGAAGAAAAAAATAGTATACTTCGATCTGCATTGAAACTCCATAGTTCTTTCTCTGGATGTGGATAGCATTTTCTATCATGAGGCCTTTGGAGATGCCTTAGATCCTTGCATTGCTGAGAAGGGTTAAGTCTATCAATATTAGTCATCACACAACGTGGCCATTATTGTGTACAACATGGTCCTGGTTCTGCTCACTTCACTCAGCATCAGACCATACAAGTCTTTCCAGGTCTTTCTAAAGTCTGCCTGCTCATCATTTCTTACAGCACAATAGTATTCCATTACATTCATATACCACAACTTGATGGGCATCCTCTCAATTTCCAATTCTTTGCCACCACAAAAAGAGCTGCTATAAATATTTTTGTACACGTAGGTCCTTTTCCCATTTTTATGATCTCTTTGGCATACAGCCCTAGAGGTGCTATTACTGGGTCAATGGGTATGCACATTTCGATAGCCCTTTGGGCATAGTACCATATTGCTCTCCAAAATGGTTGGATCATTTCACAACTCCACCAACAATGCATTAGTGTCCCAATTTTCCGACATCTTCTCCAACATTTATCATATTCCTGTTTTGTCATGTTGGCCAATCTGACAGGTGTGTTGCGGTATCTCAGAGTTGTTGTGGTTTGCATTTCTCTAATCAATAGTGATTTAGAGCATTTTTTCATATGACTATAGATGGCTTTAATTTCTTCATCTGAGAACTGCCTGTTCATATCCATTTATCAATTGGGGAATGACTTGAATTCTTATAAATTTGACTTAATTCTCTCTATATTTTAGAAATGAGGCCCTTGTTAGAGAGACTGGTTGTAAAAATTCTTTCCCAATTTTTTGCCTTCCTTCTAATCTTAGCTGCATTGGTATAGGCCCTCATCACCTCACACCTAGACTATTTTAACAGCCTGCTGGTAGCTCAGCCTGACTCACTCCAGTCTTATCTTCCACTCAGCTGCCAAAATTAAGGTGGTTTTCATAAAGCCCCAGTCCAACCATGTCACCTCCATACTTGGCAGTTAGGTGGCACAGTGGATAGATTGTTAGGCCCCTATCTCCCATGATTAAAACTATGTCATCTCTAAATCTGTATCACTTGCTTCTCCCCACAAAAAAGCAAAAACTGGCAAACAGATGAAATATATAATGTATAAGGACATTAATAAAATCTTCATGAGACACCAAATTACCAAGAATCACTCGTTGGAAAACAGTGCTCTTTCATAGAGCCAGAAGAGACCCTGTAGGACATTTTACAGACTAAGAAACTAAGGCCCAGGGAAATTAAGAGGCTTGCCTTTAATCAAACTGGTATTAAGTAGCAGAGTCAAGATCTGAAACCACTTTTGATAATACTTACCCAATTTTACCAACTGTGTCTCGCTATCTTCTGCCACCCCCACCCCAGAAGGGAACTTCTTACATGCCCTTTGGATTAATCACCCTGACAAAAGCACTTTCTTCTTTGTCCACACCACAAATATTTGATTCTTATCTACGATTAAATGTGCATCTTAGACCTCAAACAGATGAAATAATGTAAGATACTTAGTAAACCTTAACGCTTATATAGTGGTCAAATATCGTTAATATTTGTATCAGTGTCTAAGGGTGCACTGCTTAACTCTCCACATGGTTGACTAGTGAGTTGCTATACAAAAACACACATAAATGCTTTAGATGACAACTACTTTAAGAACTTAGTACTCAATTGGCATACTCTGATAGAAATTTAACTTCTATGATTGCAAATTAGATTTTTTCCCCTTGAAATTGTACAAAATTTGGGAGTATATCTCCGGCTTAACCATCAATTTTTAGAAACATCAGATTCAGAGCTTGTAAGAACCTTAGAGGTCATCTAGTCCAACTCAAGTTTTTGCATGGGAAGACCAAGAGGCCCAAAGTAGTGAAGCATCTTTGGAAAGAGCACAAGGTCATAAAGAGAAGCAAGGATGTGAATCCCTATCTCCTGACTCCAGCTCCAGCACACATTATAATACACTGGCCTGCAATTCTGTTATGCCATACTATCACATAGAGGATTAGAAGCTGGTCTCTAATGTGTTCCTTCGTTTTTAAAGATGAGAAATTTGAGGTCCAGAAAGTATACATGACTTCTCCCAAAGCAGCAGCTAAGGTAGTTGCAAAGCCAGGACTTGAAGTCAGATCTCCTATACTCCCTTCAAAAACAGATAAACTATATCACTTTCTTTTTAGCATTTCTACCCATACTCAGAGGTCTCAATAGGCTTTCAATCTACTGACCTCCATATTAAAATTACTCATCATATGTGAAATACTTTAATCAAACATTCATTTCTTAGTCACCAATTCCACTACTTGAATGATCTGACTCTTCCAAAGTCCAGTTCTCCTCAAGGAAGTGGACTACACATTTATTTAAGTTTCCTTCCAAGTTCTAAGATTACATACAAAGTCAAGACAGAAAGACAGTGATACTTGGAGATGGGAGTTTCATCACTTCCTGATGACGTTTGATATATCCTAGGGCCAATAATTTATTGATAAGACACTGAGCTCTTTATTTGAATGTGATTTTAAAGTCAAAAGACTGACTAGCATTTGTACAACTCAAGCATTTTAAAGTACCTGATCTGGAATGGGGAGAAAGGAGGGAACAAGAATGGACATGAAGAGACCCTACTTTATACCAAAATACATTCTCACTATAGACACTGGCCCTTGGTCCCTAAGAAGCAGTGAGAATCCCAAAGTTAGAAAACAAATTTTTAAAGGTATATTTTTCCCCAGCCTCAAAGCTCCCAAATAAGCAATGGTAAGAATAAAAATAGCTAGCATTAATTATAGCACTTTAAGGTTTGCAGTCAGTCGATAAATATTAAGTGCCTACTATGTGCCAGGCTAAGCACTGGGGATACAAAGAAGGGTAAATGACAGTTCCTGCTCTCCAGAAGCTCCCAATTTTGTCCTAACAACTCTGGTAAGGTGCTACCAAATAATTTTATCATGTGTGGTAAGGGAGAGGGTCTTACAGTATGTCTTAAAATACAGTATGACCACATAAATAAAAAATACGAGAACCACCAATATTTTAGATCCGTGAAAATTAAAAATAACACAAGGTACCCATTTCCAGAATTCTAGGCTATAAAGTCTGGAAGTTTGCTTAAGAAATTAAATTTGTTTCAGAAAAACCTGGAAAGACGTGTATGGACTGATGCTAAGTGAAGTGAGCAGAACCAGGAGGTTGTACACAGCAACAGCCATGTTGTGGGATGACTAATGTTGATAGACTTAGCTCTTCTCAGCAATGCAAGGATCTAAGACATCTCCAAAGGCCTCATGATGGAAAATGCTATCCATATCCAGAGAAAGAACTATGGAGTTTGAATGCAGATCGAAGCACACTATTTGCTCTTTTTTTTCCCCCTTCTGTTTTGTTTTGTTTCTTCTTTCTTGTGGTTCCTCTTATAGGTTCTAATTCTTCTTCACAACATGACTGACATTAAAATATTTAATAGGAATGTACATGGAGAGCTTAAATCAGATTTCACGCCGTCTCGGGCAGAGAAGTGGGGAGAGAAAATTTAAAATTCAAAAGCTTTTGGAAGTGATTGCTGAAAACTAAAAATAAATTAATTGTTAAAAAATTAACCTGAAATAGACTTGCTTTAACATAACTTCAAGCAAAAGAAACACAGTAGCACAGATTTAAGTTCCTGAATAAAGAGTTCCGTGTTTTCTTCTGTAGTCGCACCCTACGGAGTTTGTTCCAATACTACCAGCTGAGACTGGAGACAACTGAGGCTTTTTTCTGTTTTCTATGAGCAAGAAAGCTACAGGGAGGGGGGAGGAGACACTGGAGGACACTCCTAAAACCAAAATAACCTAAGTTTAAAGATTTTTATGCAAGCGAGAAAACAAGCCCGGTCACGTGACGAAGGGTCTGGGAGGACTAAAGGTACTCCTCCAAAGAACTAGGGTCACGAGACGGGGCGTTCTCTTCCCCCACCCCCAAATTTCCCGGGTGAACGCTTAAAATTCTCGCCCCGTCTTATAGAGTTGGAAGAAAACAAACTCAAAACAATCAAGGAAACCCCGGATCCCGGGGGCACTGGCCGATCTGGCTCCGCGAACGCCCCGGGAGCAGAAGCTGAAGTCTCCAGAGCGCACCAGGGGCTCCCGGCCCATTGGGGCCGTGAGGGGACGTGGGGAACAGGGGGCCGGGAGGGGGGGGCGTGGTCAGGACACCCTCTGCTCGTTGGGAAGCGGGGCAGGTAGCCAAGTCCTCTCCCTCCCGTGTCAGAGCCGAACCAGCATCTGGGGGCGCCAAGCCCCCAGTCCCACCATCGGGGAAAGGGGGGAGGAGCAAAAGCGTCGGGCTGGCTGAGGTCAGAGGTGAAGGAGAACCCCCAGGCGCATCTCTGTGCCCTAGTGCGGGCGCGCGCCCCTGTCCCGACCGGGCTCTTCCGGGCGCCCCCAGTCCCCGGTCCCCTGCCGGCTCCAGGCAGGCCGGGGCTCGGCGGTGTCGGCGCGCGCAGCAGCAGGCCCCCGCCCTCCCGGGCCCCCGCCGCCCTGCCTACCTGGTTGCGGCCCGAGACAGCCGAAGGCCGCTCCCGGAACGAGCCGGCCCCGCGCGGGTCTGGGGTGTTCGAGAGAAGAGAAGGCGAAGACGCCGCAGGTAGAGCCCGGCTCCAGCCCCAGCCGCTTCCATCTAGAGCGGAGGGCTCAACATGGCGGCGGGGCGGGGCCGAGACGGCCTCCGGGGGCGGGGGCCAGAAAAGGGGCGGGGCGCGGATGGGCGGGGTGGCGTCACATGACACCTGCTCTCTTGGCTCGGCTTCCACGCGGGCCCCTTCCACCTGTCCCCTCCCTCCCGCCCTACGCAGGTGTTTTTGTCTTCTGGATGGTAACCAAACCGCGACTTCTTTCGCGAGCATCTCCCAACTGCAGCCCCTCTGCTGCGAAAAGTTCGGCAGCAGCAGAAGTGGTCACCAAAGTAGTATTTCAAGCTGGGAGACTCCTCCCCCTCCTCCCTCCTGCCTGCGTAGAACTGCTTTCCAGAGGCCAGGTGTAACTGGGGGCTCAGCCTCATCCCCACAGGAGCTACTTCCCTAAACTGTGACTGTGGGGACCAGGCTGGTTTTTATTATTCTCAGAGGCCCCTGGTAGTTGGTATTGGTGATGGCAGGGGCATCAGACCCCTTTTCCGCAAGGTTGCTCCCACAATTATGGATGCAAGGTCTGAGCTTAAAGTACTGTGATTCTTCTTGGAAATGTTTTCTAGCCTCAGTGCAACACAGTAACGTCAGGACCCAGCTATTTCAAGAGCCATAGAAAAGTGACTTAATTAAAAATACACATACACACACCCAACAACAACAACTGAGCCCTAGTTTTCAAGTTTAAAAAAAAAGCAATGGTTGAAATGTTTGGTTTTTTTAAGTCTTTAACTTATTTTATGTTTAAAACTATGGATAACTTAAAGAAATGAAACTACCAAATGAAAAGGATTTAGATGAATATACTTTAGCTTACACTACAAGAACAAATCCACAGCATCCCCAAAGAATAGAATTAAGTCACAGAGTAATCAAGTAAGGAATTCACCTCGTTGTTTGTCCTTGGTTCTGGAAGAGGACCATGACCTCAGGAAGGTGATGTCATGACTTGCAAGTGCTAACAGCAAGTAGCTGTTAACAAGCACCATACGTTTATGTGGAATGGGACTGGCCATTCCTTGTGAGCATGTGCAGAGTACCATTGATTCAATTCCCTCCTGTTGAGGAGGCTGGGGAGTTTGCTTCCCAGAGAATAATGAAGTGTAATTGAAGTGTCTTGGAAAGACTTTAGGGCACTGGTGGCTATTATATAACTGGTGCTTGTTTGCTAACCATGTGATGAAGAAGAGCCTTTTTGACTGGCTGGAAGTATATTCAACATATACTAGCCAAGAAGAGTCTGGGCCTTTCTCTCTTGGTTTTATCCCTTCTCTTCTGACTGCTTGTTGACAAGTCCCGTGAAAGACAATACTTTAAGGGGAGGGGACTTGGGCCCAATACCTCCACACCAACATCTGATTCTGTGAAAGTAGGCCTCAGTTTTTTTCTCCTTCATTGTAGGTAAAAGAAACTGGAGGCTACAATTTTGTGAGTCCTGAGAACGTTATTCAAGGTCTGGGAGTTGAGGCCATACCAGGTTTTACAGCCAGACCAGTAATTCCCTAAGAAGGGTGGTAGCTGAGATGAGGACTCATCCAATAGTGAGATGCTGCATTTGGAAGTGAACTTGGTGAGACCAGTCTTATGTAGAAACTACTTTAAGTCTTGGCCCACTCTCCTCAGATACTGACATGGTGTATGGGAAAATAGGGTCCCAAGGTGTTGAGGGGAAATGTTCATACTCCCATTCTTGCTATATATTCAAAGTAGATTTTCTTTTGTAAAAATATAACTGATGGACTGGTTAAAACAAACTGAGGGACTAATCAGTGGAGGCTAACAGTATAGGATGAAGGGAGGGGAACCATACCCAGAATAGCACCTCAATAGGATATATAAAAACACCCCCAACCCCTCAGTGATACCCCTTTAGAACCCTGAGAGGAAGGTGTAGCTGGCCTCTTTATGGGAAAGGGAGGCCAGAGAAAGAGTACTTGTTACCCATGGAATTAACTAAACAATTGTCATCAAATATCAGAGAACATTGCATGAAGGATAGAGAGTTGATCTCAGAGTCAAGACAACCTGGGTTCAAATGCTGCCTCTAGTACATACCCATTGTGTGACTGTAAACAAATCCTTTATCTGTTTGGTGCTCGAAGCTATTTAAAAATCAAAGTTCCAAATGAATTGTCCATTAGCATTTGTAGAAGGATTTACTTAACCCAGAACTCCTTACACTGATTAAATCATACTTGATCCCCTAAACTACTCCCTCACCCCCAAAAAAATTATGAAGTGAAAAGGAATTCTAAGAGATTATCTACTCCAGGGGTTTACAAATCTGATATTGCATGGAGATGCTTCAGGTAGTTTGCAGGCTAATCCAAATTGCAAAGATGGTATATGCACAGGCATTCCTGGAGTATTTCTGAGGTAGGACCGGAAGATAACAAAGAATAAGGAAGATTGACATCTCGCCAACTTCCCTGAGAGATAATCACTAACTAAAGCTTGAGACCTTAGACTGAGTCTGGCAAACTTCCTTTCTTCCAATTTTCCATCTAGCTCTCTCTTTTCTCAAAGCTTCCTGTCAATACCCCCTGCTTTGTATCCCATGAAACATGAAATAACAAGGGTGAGGTAGCCCGAAGTGGAGTGTTTCAAAGGGTCCTGTTCTGTGAAAACAGTGGGTTTGGGTTTTTGTTTGTTTGTTTGTTTGTTTGTTTGTTTTGTGGGGAGGAGGTAGAGGAAGGGGGTGAAGAGAGTTGATGTTAGGGGCAGCTAGGTGGCATAGTGGATAGAGCACTGGCCTTGGATTCAGGAGAACCTGAGTTCAAATGTGATGGAAGACACATTACACTCACTAGCTGTGTGACCTTGGGCAGGTCACTTAACCCCGATTGCCTCATCAAAAACAAAAACAAAAAAAAAGAGAGAGAGAGAGAGAGTTGATGTTGGTGGCAAAAGAGAGTATCTGAGGTGATCCATAAGACCTTTTGTTCCATTCAGGTAGTCTGACAGAAAAAAAAAGTTTAAAACCATCGACTTAATCTATTCATCTGACACTAATTAGCATTATCATTCAACTAGATCTTAATTAATTTTTGAAACATTACTCTTTAAAAAGTCATTGATGCCACATAGATGATTCATCTACAGGGCCTATTTTTATGCTGTTGTTTACTGCTCATGCTCTTTTCAGCAGAAGCCTTAAATAAATTAAATCTGATCTGTTTTTTGGTGGAGTGTGAACTGAATAGACCTCACTCCCTTTCCCCATCCCACCTCACCTTTGCTGCCATGTTGAGGCAGAGGGAAGGAACCTTGGATGCTACCTAGTCCAGTCTCCTTTTTTTAACAGATGAGGAAACAAAAGTGAAATGATTTGTCCAAGATCACATTAGTGGTATACAGGCAGAACTGGAATTTGAAACTAGCTCCTCTGGCACTAAATCCAGCATCCTTTGTGCAGTCCAATAGAGTTCAATTAATTGTGCTTTTCTATAAAACATAAAACTCAAATGCTCAATAACATAATGTACATATACCAGCTGAGAATCAATTTAGTTAGCCAGCTTTAAAGAGTTGATACAATTCATTCCTCCTCCCTCTCGCCAAAAAAAAAAAAATGTATAAGTTACAGCATGGTGCCATGCAAAAGATACTGGATTTAGAGTCAAAATACCTAGGTCCTAATCCTGGATCTGCCATTGATTAGTTATTTGATCTTGGTAATTTAATTTAACCTTTCTAAAACTCAGCCAACCTATTCAAAGTTTGCCTTTCAAATTGCTATGGGCCTGGGGAACTTGTGGGTGCAGAGTGTTACTTACATTCACTGTCAAATGTGGTTTCTAGGCCAGTTGGTTTTATATAACTGGTTTTTTTTCTAATCGTTACAAGGGAGGATTCTGGGAGGAAGGGACTATAGCTAGTCATGTCTGTGATGTGGAAACAAAAGGCATCAATACAACTTAACATTTTAAAAAACTGGTATTGTTATTAAACAACACTGAGTGAAATGTAACAAAGTTTGCAACTAAACCTGCTTTGCTCCATTATTTGAACGTTTTTTCAGGATTTAAGTTAATACTTTTGTAGTACACCAAGGATGGCAAGGAAGCTATTAAATTAACTTGGTATCTTGAACTGAATTGAAACAAAACTTTCAATCCCAACCTTTTACTCATGCAAGTAAATTTCCATTGCAAAGAAGCAGTAGAGAGTTATGTTTTCCTCACTGCACACATGACCAGATATTCCTGCTTGGTCCTTTGAGAAGTTCTACAGCAATAACCAAACTCCATGAATGAATTGTAACCAAATTTCACCTGTGACTAGAGCTCAAATTTTCCATTTTTAGGATGATGTGATACTAAAATACAACAAATGAAGTAAGATTAACATTTCAAGGATCCTTGGATTCATTGTTATTTGGGTACCTACCCTGTCCACTGATCTAGATTACAAACCCTCTGTGACTTGGTGGAAAGTCTTCAAGAATTTCTGTGGCCAAAAAACATTCATCACCCAGAGGCTAACCCAGTGATAAGCCTCTCCAGACTTATGTTTGGTTGGTTACTCCCTACCCAGACCACCAATTTTTTTCCCTTTTGGTGAGTTGGGGTCAAGTGACTTGCCCAGGGTCACACAGCTAGTAAGTGTCATGTGTCTGAGGTGTCACATTTGAACTCAGGTCCTCCTGACTCCAAGGCTGGAGCTCTATCCATTGTGCCACCTAGCTGCCCCAAGACCACCAGTTCTTGAGGGGCCCCAGTTATGCTCACTTCACTCTGTTTAACTCACTCTCCATACTTTGCCTCCTCACTAACCAACTATTTGCCTTGGAGAAACCTCCTCCCTGAGTCCCACTCTCCTGACTGGTAGCTTCCCATCATGGACCACCATTTTTTGAGGGGTCCCACCCATAATCACTTCACTCCCTGCTCTATTCACTCTCTAGAT